ATAAATCAATGGAACAGAATTGAGACACAAATCCATTCTACCTATGGTCGGTTGATCTTCCACAAAGGGCCAAAATAATTAAATGGGGAAGAGATAGTCTCTTCAAATGATACTGACAAAATTGGAAATCCATTTGCAGAAAAATGAAACAAGACCCATATCTCACACTATATATAAAAATAAACTCAATGTGGATAAAAGACCTGCATGGCACTGTGTGATAATCACTGGACTGCAAGATTGGTTTGAACCATAGATCAGCAGTTCAAACTCATCAGGCACTACTCAGAAACCCAAGGAGCAGCTGACGGATTTGAACAGCCAACCTTGTGGTTCAAATCAATTTTGTGGTCCAGTGCTTATCCTACAGTGCCACACCAGGACTCCATGCTAACATGAGTGATTGTTGTTATGTGCTGTGGAGTCTGTTCTGACTCACAGCGACCCTGAAAAGGTTTCCAAGGAGTGGATGGTGAACTTGAAATGCCAACCTTGTGGTTCAAACCAAACTTGCAGTACAGTGTATTAACCCACAGTGCCACACCAGGACTCCAACATAAGTGATTTATTGTTGCTGTTAAGTGCCATCAAGTTGGTTCCAACTCATAACAACCCTGTATAGGTAGGGTTTCCGAGGAGCAGCTGGTGAGCTCGAACTGCTGACTTTGAAGTTCAAATGGCTTTGCAGTCTGGCGCATTAACCCACAGTGCCATAGGGGCAGGCAAAATACAACAAGAAAGAGGTTATAACAGAGGAAAGATGAAAGTAGTGGGAGACTCGGAAGATTGCAACAGTCAAAGTGAATAGAGCCAAATACTGTTAACTATTGATATATAGAGGATATTGCAATCCATTACAATGAAGCAAAATACATGATTTTTTGAAAGTAAACCAGATGATCTGCTCTGTGAACCTTCACTCAATTCACAATAAAAAAAACTTTTATTTAAAAAAAAGAAAGACCTGTGACACAAACACACATATGCAAACCCATGTTCACAATAGCAAAAAGATGGAAACAGCCTAAATGCCCATCAACACAATAGTTAAACAAACTTTGGTACATACAAGCAATGGAATGCTACACAATGTTGAAGAATGATGATGGATCTGTAAAACACCTCACAACATGAATGAACCTGGAGGACATTTTGATGATTGTAATTGTTGTTGTTAAGAGCCATCTAGTTGATTCCAACTGGTAGTGACGCTGTACAAGGATTCCAAGGAGTGGCTGGTGAGTTGAACTGCTGATCTTGTGGTTAAAACCAACCTTGTGGTCCTGAGCATTATCCTATAGTATCACACCAGAAATTAGTCAATCACAAAAGGACAAATGTTGTATAAGATCACTGTTGTAAAAAGTTAGGGTTTTCTTGCTGTAAAAAGCATTCTATGATAGTTACCAGAAGTGGGAGTAAATAGAAAAGTATTCACTGGATAGAAAGTGTTGTTAAGTGCCTTCGAGTCTATTTCAACTCATAGCGACCCTGTATATAAGATTTCCAAGGAGTGGCTGGGGAGCTTGAACCACCAACCTTGTGGTTCAAACCAACCTTATGGTTCAGTGCATTAACCCACAGCGCCATAGGTTAACTCAGGTTACAGGGAAGGATATATACAAGAGGGAAGTTGGCACAGGAATAATGAAGGTAGTAGGAAACACAGGGAGGAATGCAAGAGTTACAAGGAACAGAGGTAAATACTGCTAACTGATGGTATACTGAGGAGATTACAGTCATTGGAGAGGACTGTAATCATTGTAATGAAATGAAGTGTATGATTTGTTGAAGTTGGGACTGATGATCTGCTCTGTAAACCTTCACCCAAATATTATACTAAGTGAAAGAAGCAAGTGACTAAAGACAACATATTGCATGGCTCCAATTAGATCAAGTGCCCAGAAGGGTCATGCTATAAACACATAAAGTAGATTAGTAGTTGTCTAGGACTGAGGGGCTTGACTTAGCCCAAATACACCCTCCTACAACTTTATACCAAGATCTTTTCTTATGCAATATAGAACTTTGCTTCCATTCCTTTATTCATCAGTTCAGCCTGACTGCAGATACTCCCTTAGGATGAAGCTCATTCATTCTTCTAATTCCTAGACTCTAATGGTCCATCTCAGTTGGTCTGGGACAATCTAGGTTTATCCTGTTGTCCCAGCTTAATTACAAACTGCATCAATTTCATTTGGAAAAGTGTCTCAATTTGATATGCTAATTAAATGGCTAACCTATTCCTGAGACTTACTCACCCACAGAACTCTCTCCTCTCAAATCCTTCTTACAAAAAAATCATTTGTTAAAACCCCTATGGAGCCCACTTCTACTCTGACACTTAGTGGTTGCCAGGAGTCAGTATATAACAGTAACTGGGGTGGTGTGTGCTGGAAGATGATGCCATTGAATGTAAGCAGCTTTCAAGAGGAAAGGATTTGACTGGGTTTTGTTGTTGTTATTATTTTGCTTATAAATCTAGAGAAATTTTTTGTTGTTGTTATTATTTTGTTTATAAATCTAGAGAAATTGAGACAGAAGGGAAGAAGCCAGAGAACACAGGAACAACACAGGAAAAGGTAAAAACTGCTTAATCAGTATCCTAGCACACAGAGGGATAAATTAGAGCTAGATGGAAGGATTAGCCTTGGACAGAAAAGCTACAATAAAACAAAACATATGGAAAGATGTAAATGCAACAATGCTTTATTTACCTACATCTTTGGGGAAGAGTTCCACATAACTAAGTTTTCTAGACACTTTAGTTTTTCCCTTTAAGCATCTTTTTAATTTTCACTATTTTCTTTGGACTCATTCAGTACTGTGACACAGTTTTCTGCCTTCATGAACAGAGTGTATTGGACAAAACTTACAGTTTCCTAGATGACTTCAGGCCAATAAGACTATGATTATAGTACGAGGAAGTAACATAGCTGATTCTGCATCTTAACTTTTCAAACCTTCTTTGGGTGTTCCACATTGCAGCTGACATTTCCGTGGTTACATTTGTGCTTCCAATTGATTCTGATTTGAAAGTTATATAACCATTAAATGGCACTCTAAATAAGGGACAAGAGTTTCTCTATGAAAGTAGTTTTTATGACAATTCTCTCTAGTGTTAAAAAACTGTCACTTCTCAGTTCAATTGAGACTAGGTTTCAATGAATTGAGGATGTCAGGAGACATTAGTTTATCTTGTTTCCTGAAATCATATTAAAAAATCCCTGTGAAGAAATTCAGAATTTTACAAAATTTTCATTAACTTGCAACAAAAGCATTATGTTGATTTCAAAAGTTATCTCTCAGTAACTAAACGTTTACTTTGCCCTCCAGTCATTTACCAAGGATTACTGGTGGCATAGTGGGTTATGAGGTGGGTTACTAACTGCAAGGTCAGCAGTTGGAATCTTTCTGCTCCTGCAAAAGATTTACACCTTCAGAAACCCTATACAGGGTCACTAGGAATCAGAACCAACTTGATGGCACATAACCACCAGTCATTTACCCATAAAAAGTTACAATCCTCTACATTTCATTTCTGTATTCATCTACATATTACACATAGGAGTCCTGGTGTGGCGCTGTGGGTTAATGCGCCAGACTGCAAAGCCATTTGAACTACAAGGTTGGTGGTTCAAGTTCACCAGTAGCTCCTTGGAAACCCTATACAGGGTTGCTATGAGTCAGAATCGACCGGACGGGCACTTAACAACAACAATATTACACATATACATATTAGAGGCCTGGTGTAGCACTGTGGGCTAATACACTGGACTGCAAAGTCACTTTGAACTACAAAGTCACCAGTTTAAGCTCACCAGTTCAAGCTCACCAGCTGCTCCTTGCAGAGGTTGCTATGGGTAGGAACCAACTCATTGGCACTTAACAACAACATATGATAAGTATGTAGTATTATATTCTTTACAAAATCTTGGCTTTAATCCCTTTGAATTTTCACACAAAAGTCACAGAATTTCACAAGAAAAGACCAAAGTTGACCAACTTGAGGAATCACCATTAGGTCCAATACTAACAGGGTGTCCTGATTTCACCCATTACTAAGATTCTGGATGATTATTTCCGCCTATACACTAAATAGAGTCCTGTGGTGCTGTGGGTTAATGCACCAGACTACAAAGCCGTTTGAACTGCAAGGTTGGCGGTTCAAGCTCACCAGAAGCTCCTTGGAAACCCTATACAGGGTCGCTATGGGTCGGAACTGACTCGATGGCACTTAACAACATACACTAAATATAAAATAAAAACTATCATTGCTCTTATAAGACTCTTCCTGTTCTGTTCATATTAATAGAAATGAACAAATATAGAATTTCTCATCAAGAGCAATTCAAGGTCAGATCAACTATACTTAAAGGAGCCCTGGTAGGTAGTGATTATGAGTGGGCTGCTATCCACAAGGTATGCAGTTCGAATCTACCAGCTGCTCCGCCAAGAGAAAGATATGGCTTTACACCCTCGGAAACCCTATACAGGTTCCCTGAATCAGCAGCCATCACACCCTCCCCCTTCTAAATCACAAACGTCCTGAGAGCAAGAATCTTATCAGATTCAATTATTCCAGTCAATCAAATATGCTCTTAGCACCTACAGTTTGCTAACCTCCAAAAAGGGCAGAGTTAAAATAAAAAACAGTTCTTGCCCTCACAGTAGAGGAGGAAGACTTGTAAACAAATTAGAACAAAGGCAAAAACAGAACCGAGTTCAGAATTAAATCAGAGGGAGGATTAACTCTCAGGTTGTCTTGGGAGTTCAAGCATATATTTTTGTTCTCCCAAGAGCCCTCAATAAAAACCTGTTGAATAATGTCGCTAAATAAATCAGAACCAACTCAAGAGCACCTAACAAGGGAGACGAGGTCCCAGGTCCAAATGAGATGTATCAGTTGCTTTTGGAAATCAGTGGAGAAACTTCACCCCCCAACATCTGCGGGAAGGCAGACTCCAGCCCGGGAAATCGCCTTGGAGAAAGGGCCATACCTGTACTGCCAGCCTTTAGCACTGCCACCGCGGCTGCTGCTGCTGCTGCTGCTGCTGATCCCACCACCACCACAGCTGCTGTTGCTGCTGGTTTTGTTCGGGGTCAACGCTGTGGCCAGGGCCTCCAGCTTGCCTTCGCTCTCGGAGACTTTCATGGTTGACAGTGGTTCTCCTCCCTGCATCTTAACTCCAAAGTCCATTGTCCCTTCTTGGGCGGGAGAGAGCAATTTTGTAGGGTAGCTCTGGAGGTGCCTTTTTTTTTTTTTTTTCTTTTCTTTTAAGATGTGATCCCACTTGCTAAACAAGAGGGTGGCTAGAGTGTGGACCATCAAATGGTCTACGAATGGAAAACACGCATTCCCAGCGAAGAAAAAAAACTTTTAAGAGGGCAGACAGAGACCAGGACAGATATCCTTTAAATAGCTACCTATCTCCCTCCCGGCCAAAGCAAGGAAAAATCACCCTACTAGAGGGTTTGGTGACATAGTCAAAGGAGAAACAGCGTGGGTAGGTCGCGGACTCTGAAGGACTGAGCCAAACCAAGGACCGCGGACAGGGACTCCCGGCCTGACCTCTGAGCTGAGGAACTGGCCCGCCGCGTTCCCTTTTGCTCTTCTCCAGCAGGTCCCTCAAGGGTCCCGTCCAGTCCGCTCGACCGTTCCCGCCGCAGCCCCTAAGACAGACCCTGGCCGCCCGCGTGCAACCCGGCAGGAGGGTCAGGAGAGGCCGCCTGGGGCGGGACGCGGGCTCTCAAGAGTCGCCCTTCCCTCAAGCCAGAGCCCAGACACTCGCGGCAATTGCTTCCAACGCCCCAGCGCCGGAGTCCTCGACTATATTCCCAAGAGAAAGTACTTTGCCTCTTTCCAGCCCCAACTGCGAGAGTCACAACCCCAGCCACCGCCCCACCCACAACCCCACAGCCGGTCACTCACCCGCCGGCTTCCTCCCCGCCTTCCCTTCCGGTGTATGTCATTTCACTTCCCCTAAAGCAGACGCTCCCGCCGCCATATTGGAGGCGGGCAGATCACCCATTGAGGGAGCGGAGCCTTTGGGAGAGACGCTGGTGGTGGATGTAAAAGATAAGGAAACTGAGAGGAATAGGAAGTGTGATTTTCAGCCTTTCTCAGCACGTGCCACCCACCCATTGGAGAGAGGTATAGAAAAATGCCATTTCTATAATACCCACAAAGCGCTTCCTTTTTATGATTTTGGAAGAGAGCATGACGTTGTTGTTGTTGTTAGGTGCCATCAAGTCGCTGCCTAGTCATAGCGACCTTATGCACAGCAGAAGGAAACACTGCCCGATTCCTGGGCCAACCTCATTCAATTTGCCACCGCTTGAGTCCATTGATGCTGCCACTTTGCCAATCCATCTCACTGGGGCTCTTACTCTTTTTCTCTGACCTTACCAAACATGATATCCTTCTCCAGTGACTGCTCCCTCCTGACAATATGTCCAAAGTATGAGAGACGAAGTTTGGCCATCTTGGCCTCCAAGGAGCACTCTGGCTGCAATTCTTCCAGCACAGATCTGTTGGTTCTTTCGGCAGCCCATGGCACTTTCAATATTCTCCTCCAACACCATAACTCAAAAGCATCAATTCTTCTGTGGTCTTCCTTATTCACCGTCCAGCTTTCGCATGCATATGAGTTTATTGAAAATACCATGGCTTGGCGAACCTTAGTCCTCAAGCTGACATCTTTGCTCTTCAACACTTGTTAAAAAGGTCTTGTGCAGCAGATTTGCCTAATGCTATACATCCTCTGATCTCTTGACTGCTGCTTCCATGAGTGTTGATAGTTGATCCAAGAAGGGTGAGGTCCTTGACAATTTCAATCTTTTCTCTGTTGATAAGAATGTTTATTGGTCCAGTGGTGAGAATTTTTGTTTTCTTTACATTGAAATGCAATCCATACTGAAGGCTGTGCTCTTTGATCTTCGTCAGTAAATGTTTTAAATCCACTCTCAGCATGACATTAGAATAAGGCAAAACAGTGTTACAATGAAAAAAAAAAGCTGTCGTGTAAATTAGAGCTCTCAGGTCTACTAAAACCACAAATATCACTCTCTTTAGGCAGTATATAAAATGATAGTGGTTGAGTAGGTGATTTCCAACCAAAACCAAATAACCAAACCCTTAACTGTTGAATGCTTTCCAACTCACATAGGGTTTCTGAGACTATAAATCTTTATGGGAGCAGACAACTTCATGTTTCTCTCCCAGAGCCGCTGGTGGGTTTGAACTGCCAACCTGGAAGTAGAAGTTAGCAACACAGTGCCTAATTTCAAAGGGTACTTTTATTTACAAAGTTCCAAACAACAGGACTGAATGAATGTATACTGCAAAGAAGTATAACTCAAAATGGGAAAGTAGAAAAGTAAAATAAATAATAATTATTAAAATCATAAAATGAAAGAGAATGATACATAAAATAAATGGGGTGGGGTGGAAAACTTACTTTAGGAGAATACTCTCTTAAGAGATAGTATTTAAAGTAAGTGATGATGAATGATGAGGAAGCAAGCTTGACTTATTCTGTGAAATAAAAGATCAAGGAGTCTGGAGCATGGTGAGCAAGAGGGAGATCGGGATGAAATGAGAGTGAAGAGACAGGCAGAGGAAAGTGCATTTTATTTTAAGTGCAATGGAAATTTATTAAAGTTTTTAATCAGTGGAATGCTGTGATCCAATTTATATATATATTTAAATCTCTCTAGTCTTTTGTTGGAAGGACAACTGGATTGGTTGTTGCTAAGTGCCATTAGGTGGGTTCCAAGTCATAGCTACCCCTGTTCAGGGTTTCCAAGGAACACTGACCTTGTGGTTCAATATGACCTCTCAGTGCATTATCCTACAGCACCACTCCAGGGCAACTGGATATCCACATGTAAATGTGAACACCTAACTCATACCGACTCGCCGGCACTTAACAACAACAACAACAACAACTCATACCATACAAAAAAAGTAACTCAAACTTTGAAATATACTCAAAGATAACAAAATATACTTCAGGGCTAAAACTAGAAACTTCTTATAAGAAAATATACAAACAAATGTTTATGATCTAGGTTAGGCAAAGCCTTCTTAAATATAATATCAAAAGCCAAGCCGAAAAAAAAAAAAAAAATAGATTAAGCTTCATGAAAATTCAAAACGTGTGTGGTAAACAATATCACCAAGAAAATGAAAATGCAACCCGAAGAATGGGAGAAAATATTTGCAAATCAGATATCTCATAAGGGACCTGTATCCAAAATATATAAAGGAATCTTGTTGTCTTTGTTGTTGCTGCTGTTGTGGTGATCCTATATAGGGTTTCTAAGGAGCAGCAGGTAGGTTCAAACTGCCAACCTTGTGGTTAGCAGTCCAGTGCTTATCCTACAGTGTCACACCTGGTCAATAATAATAATCAAAATATAAATAACCCAATTTTAAAATGGGCAAAGGATCTGAATAGACATTTCTTCAAAGAAGATGTATATATGGCCAGTGCTGTTGTTGGTAAGTGCCAGTAGTTCATGAGAATATTCTCAGCATCATTAGTCATCAAGGAAATATAAATCAAAACCACAAGGAGATACCACTTCACATCTGCTGCTGTTATGTGCCATCCAGTCAGTTGTGATTCATAGTGAGTGGCCTGTATAGGGTTTCCAAGGCTGTAAATCTTTGTGGAAGCAGAAATCCTCCTCTTTCTTCCCTTGATCAGCTGGTGGGCTCAAACTGCCATTGTAGTTCTGGTAGTGTAACTGTTACAAGTCGGGCTGCTAACCTAAAGGTCAGCAGTTCAAAACTACCAGCCATTCCATGGGAGAAAGATGAGGCTTTCTGCTCCCGTAAAGATTTATAGTCTCGGAAACCCTATGCAGGGTCACTATGAGTCAGAACTTACTCCATGGCACAGGACCACCACCATAGGGTTTTCAAGGAGTGGCTGGTGGGTTTGAATTATCAACCTTGTGGTTAGCAATCCCAGTGCTTATCCTACAGTGCTATACCAGGACATCGCACTAACTAGGATGGTTAAAATAAAAATGATCAACAATTACAAGTTTGGTGAGGATGTAGAGAAAATGGAATACTTGTGGAATATCGCTGGTGCAAAATTGCAGTTGCTTTGGATAACAGTCTGGCAGTTGCTAAAATGACTAAACAAAGAATTACCATGTTATCATTGTTACATGCCATCAAGTTTGTTCTGACTCATAACAACACTGTACAGGGAATGCAAGGCAGTAAATCTTTGCCAGAGCAGAAAGCTTCATCTATGACCCAATAATTTCCATTCACTGGTTTATACCCAAAAGAACTGAGGTTCTGGATCCACTCACTCTCTGAGTGGTTATGAGTTGCAGTGCAATGGGTGTCTCTTATATATAGTTTTTCTGGCCTTGAGTTTCTAATTCTTCTAAAAGGGATTGGCTGAGCCAGCCTTACAAAGGATTGTTGTCTGTTGTGCAAATTGTTGTTGCTGTTAGGTGCCATCAAGTTGGTTCTGATTCATAGTGACTCTATGCACAAGAGAACCAAACACTGCCCTATCCTGTGCTGTCCTTACAATTGTTTATCATGTTTGAACTCATTGTTGCTGCCACTGTGTCAATCCATCACATAGGGTGTCTTCCACTATATCTGACAATATTCCACTGCTATTCACAAGGTTTTCAATAGTTAATCCTTCAGAAATGGTCTGCTCTCTTTCTTCTTAGTCTATTCTTAAACTGAAAGCTCTGCTGAAACCGGGCCACCATGGGTGACCCTGCTAAGTATTTAAAATACTGATGTCCCCAGGAGCCATCAAGATAAGTGGTCGGGTCTCCTCAGAGAAAGCCTCCTTCCAAGACTAAGACTCAAGGGGAAGGCATGTGGTCTGGCTGGTGACCACGTTGGTCACTGATAAGGGGAAGTGGGGAAAAACATCAATGAAGTTGTGAGCTAAGTCCGACCTCTTTCAATAGACTCCTGTGAACCCGGATTGAGATCTGGTTGGCAAGCAGTATGGCAAGGTCCAGGAATTCCTGGGCCCAGAGACAGTGACATGGCCACAGAGGACTAGAGTAGAAAGTGAAGCATCCAGCTGATATGAAGTGAGGAGAGATGCACAAGAACACCCACTTAACCTGACTTCAACTGCTGGATGATCAGAATTTGACTAGAAGAAAGGAGAGGGAAAAAATAGTAATCTGCTACAATTTGATGAATCTGACCTATCCTTATGGATGTAGTTACTCAAAAGAGGAAATAAATCTTACA